GTGTGTGGGACAGGAAGTGAGACAGGGAAATCTCTTATTTTGGACAAAGAGAGCAATACAATGAACTCACAGGGGTCCATCCCCCACTCTATCCAAAATGTAATTTTTGTTTTATATACACTTAAGGTTCCATTAACACTGGTGCAATGCATTAAATGCATTATTCTTAGCGATTAATGCACTGTACCATGCAACGTGCCTACCATGTGGTAACAGTGCGGGGAGGTGCGTTGCATTGCCATTCATTTGAATGGCACCCCAAACGCGCCTACCGCCCGCAATGTTCTCTATTGCGTCGCAACATGCAGTACCGCAATACAAAAAAGATGCACCAGGTGCATACACTATTTTCAGCAGGGCACCACAGTGCATTACAATGGGGTGTGGTGCAATGCAATGCAGATTTGTTGGGGTGAGACTCAGAATGAATGGCAGCGCAGTGCCCCAATACACAATAACACTTGTTGCAACAACGTGACAACGTGAATCCGGCATAATGTAAAATAGATTTAGATTTGTGTTTAAATGTTTAAAAAATATTTAGGCCCGCACTGAAAACACAAGCTTGCCTGAGCACACAGAACAGTTCAAACACTTTCTCAGCCACACGGCCCTCTAACTATAAATCTCTTACTACAAATTAATGCATCTGTTAATTTTTAATCCTAGGTACGGGCGTTTCTGCAGGCACAATTTAAGACAAAAACTGGATATGCTACAAAAGTGCACTATGTAGGTTAACTGACAGGTTTATTTTGACTTTAAGTTTCACTTAAACTAATACCCAGAAGCACTTAGGATATGAATTTTATAGCTCGGTAATAAAAGTGGACTAGATGGAAGCAGAGCAAGAACAAGCAACACTGCAGCTAGTAATTAAAAGGAAAAGTGTACAGTCTGAAGCAGATTGCAGGCCAATAACTCAGACAGGGTCATACAGTGTGACATAAATGGTTAAGTGCTATACCTCATATTAGGGGATGCATTTTTTTTTTTTTAAGGTACCACATCTCATAAGTACAGCTACCTTAATAGATAATAGGAAAGCCTGTTTTTTTAAGGTAAAACAACATAAACCTGAATATATAAAACTTCCAACTTTTATTTATATATATACTGTATATATA